TGACCAAATCTTCAAAAGCATGATAACCAACTTGTACACAGAGATTTAAGACATGACATATACAACGAATATGAAAAAATCTTCCCCCACAAATGGGTGTGCAAATATCAAATTCACGAATAGATGCAGTATTGGCAGTATCATTATCAAAAGAAATGAAAAACACTTTTTTACCAATTTTATATTTATCCAAAATTTTTAAAATTAAACGAGCAATATTAGAGGCAGTGTGACATTCATGAAATGCAACGTAAACGATTAAACGTTTTTGCAAACTCCAACTTTCATCTATCCAATGACAAGTAATTATCAAATAGTAGTTATTTTGCCAATGATCGGACCATATATCAGCACAAATGGATACTCTATGGTTTAAGATCTATATGTTTCTTGCAAAATTATTTTTTTTCACTAACTATTTTTTGAATATCGCGAGTAAGAGTAGTACGTGGAACCCGAGTGGCAGCCGAATTCAAAGTCATTTGAGCAAAATGGGCATATAAATCACTATCACCAAAACTAAATGGAAGAGATGAAGCATAAACAAATTCAGCTAAATGACGTCTATGATTTCCATGCGAGTAATGAAAAAAAGATGGCGTACATGTACCAGTCGTGGCAGATGCAGAGGTGCTACTGGGGAATTGCATCTGTGCCGTGTCAATTCTCAACTTTGTCGGATGGCCGCTCTTTAGGTGTCGAGTCAAGGATCCATACTCGTTGCCTTTTTTTGAAATAATACATCTTCCTGCAATTGGACGGGCAGTAGTTGCAAACAACAAAAACATGATTCTCACCTCTTTCCGGATTTAGAGTCTGTGTGTCGTTCGAACATGGCGGATCCCGATTAGCCACCCAGCCCACGCTCGAAGACAGAGGCTAGTTCCGGGCCGTCTGGCTGCTTCTCTTGCTCGGGCTCCGGGCTCGCTCCAAATAGATTATCCAAATGGTCGTGATACGGGTGTTAGGGTTCTTGCTGCTCAGATTGAATTGAGACAAACATGGCATTGATCGTTGCGTCATCAGTGGACAACAGGAATATCCACATGTATCGATGGACTCGCAAATTCCGGTACGTGCCGACCTTTCACCATTTATGTCTGGAGGTCGAAGCATGACAACCACCAGGAGTAGTCGACATTTTAATTAAAAAAAATACAAAATTAAAAAAAAAAAGTAATTTAGAATATGGTGAAAGGAAAAAAAAAAAAAGTAATTTTTTTTATATTTGCGTTTTTTTGTCAATCGAGCATAAAATTATAAACCGAACACTTAGGGAGATAAAAGAGAAAAAGATAATGATAGGGAAGAGAGAAGATAGAGAAATTAGAAAAGAGATGATTTTTTTTGTGTGGTGTAGAATGAGGGGAATATTTATAGGTTAGGATTTATTTATTTTTTTTTTTCCTATTCTCGGTTTATTTATTTATTTATTTTCTTATTAATTTGGTCCCGCCGGGTCGGGCGGGCAGGCGGTTGTGGAACGTTGGATCTCAATGGCTCTAATAATTTAACGGTCCAGATTTTCCTTTTTTTCTTTTTTTTTCTTTTATGACCGTTGGGCCCGAGTTGGACCGGTCGGCCCAACGGATACATTGCCAGTGTCAGACGGGTCTGACACGGGTCGGGCCAACCCGAACCGACCCGTAAATATTTAAAAAATAATAAAAAAATACCTGCGCGCCCAAGGACCGACACTCGGCCCGAACTGCCGGTAAAAAAAAAGTGTGAACCGAGACCGAACCACAAGGGCACGGTCCCAGTTCTCAGAACCGCTACTTTTCGGGCCGGAACCGGGATGGCGGGCCGGTTCGGCCCGCGGCCACGTCTAGTGTCGTCCAGATATTTGACTATATTGTTGAAATTGGGAAAGTTCGGGTAACCAAATCTGAAATATTGGAAGAGCAGCATAATAAATTAATAATCATTTCAACTTTCCAAGTGGCCTCATGTCATCTTCCTTTAGATAAAATATACAACTGTTTCCACTATCAAAGTCAGAATTCACATGCCAAGCAATTTTGGCAGATCTTATACGGCTGTAATGTAAAGCAATTTCCATCAGGAAACGAGTGGTTATTCTTCCATTGTTAGCTAAGGTATACCCAACGAGATAATGACAGTCATCATTAAAACAATAAAATAAACACCATCCTACGGGTCCGGTTCAATGAACCGGCCCTTAGGAAGCCGGTTCAGGGCCGGGCCGGGACCGGTTCACGGGCTGGTCTGGCCCATGGCCATCTCTAATCCTATAGCTTTATTATTTATTTTTATTTCTATTTGAACAATTTTAACTGTTTATTACCCGCACATAATTTTGTGTCTTATGCTGACACACACACACAGCTTCGGACTAACTGAAAGCCACTGTCGCAAGTTTTAAATTTAACTCCCGAAATCACTGTGGGGCCGGGGATTAGGGTTAAGAATTGACTACAACTCTGTATAATGGGGCTGGAACCCTATGTATCAAAAAAGAAAAAAAAAAATCCAAGTAGTAATAACATAAGATAGCAAGTGGCCTCAATCAGTTGAGTATACGTACTACTAAAATGATTTGGGCTATCAATTTATAATATCTGTAACAGGCCTTATCTTAGACCAATCTCCTCTGCAGAAGAATACTTTCCCTCCATTATTAGCTGTTATAAATTACAACAAAAATAATTAACTAGTCATTAACAAAGACAAATTAGTTGTTATTATTTTCTAATATAAATCTTTTGGTTTCCAAAAGTTGTGCATCACTATCAAAGATATGAACATGGAAAATACAAATTGGTTGACTGACTTATATCCACTCTTTGAGCTGGCTGCCATTATCTTATGGCATGGCCCCCCAAACTACATTTTATTTTATTTATTTATTTATTTATTATTTTATTTTATTTTTTTGAAAATTCAAGTATGCAAACCAGTTGAAGATGCTCAGTTCATTATTATTTTTTTTATTTAAAAAAAATAAAATTGTAAACTAGTTTTTCAATGATCAGTTTGCAAATAGCGGTTTTTGTATGGAACAATCAGACGGCTCGGCTTATAGCGTCATCCACAGTTATTCACAAATAGTGTATTGACACGTGTCCTACAATAATGTACTCTGAACAGGTGTCAATACATTAAGTGATGGATGACTCCATAAGAAAACTATCCGATGACTCCATATAATATTTGTACCAAATAGATGCAGCTTGCATCTAATCTATTATCCTTAAACACATCAAATTTTGAAGTTACTTAGTCTTACCTTGTAAATGTTTATCTGTCAAAATCTCACCAAACCAAGAAAACACAGATTATAAGAAACAGCACCTGATGGAAACTTTTAACTGATCAGTTGGCCTTCTTTCACACACACACACACACATACACACACACACACAAAGCAACAAATAAAAAAAAAACATATAAAATAAATTTGCTTTAATTAGAAGTCAATTTGCTTTTTTGACATATATACAAAAAGCATTCAAATTACAGTGCCTTCTATAGATTTCCCATTAACAGCATTTTGCAACGACCACTATGCGGTATGCTTTTCCTTAAAGAAAAGGACTTGTGAGCCTCGAGTGTACGAGTGTGTGTGTGTGTGTGTATATATAGAGTACAACAATCATGGCTTGTTTAACGAGCAAGGTTCACTCGAACACATTACTGTACGAGATGGCGTACCTTTTGAAAACTCTCGGCCTGTGCTTGTGGCTCTACTTAGCCAGCCGTGGTTTTACAGGAGCTGTTTCTCAGAGCCCGGCCTTTGTCAATGGAACAGTAACTATTGATGGAGGCTCGCCTATTGGAACGATAGACGATGATTTCGTTTGCGCCACTCTCGACTGGTGGCCGCCGTCTAAATGCGATTATGGGACTTGCAGTTGGGGAAGATCTTCTCTTCTGAATCTGGTTGGCTTTTAATTTTCTGTATTCAGGTCAACCTGTCTATTTT